CAAACATAAGATTGTTCCTAATCATGGGCATGTAGACTCTTGGAAATTTTCTTTTCTTTTCTTTTTGGTTTTTCGAGACAGGGTTTCTCTGCATAGCCCTGGCTGTCCTGGAACTCACTCTGTAGACCAGGCTGTCCTCGAACTCAGAAATCCGTCTTCCTCTGCCTCCCAAGTGCTGGGATTAAAGATGTGCACCACTACTGCCTGGTAGGAATTTTCTTACAAAAAAAAACTGTACTGAGTCTGGTAATGCAGCTGAGAGTTATAGGTCACAGAGTTGGTCTGATTGCACATGTTCCAGGGAGCTGCTTCAGGAGATGGGGGCTTTGTTCCTGGGAGCACACTAACTATGTGTCTCATAGTAACACATATCCCTGACTTCACCATCACAGAGCTCAGAAACAGGGTGACTTGGGTCTTGGAAGTGTCATTGAAATGCAGCGGTGATTTGGAGGATTAGACTTTCTTCAGTGACTTGGAAAATCCTCCATCTTCATGCAAAGTTCCCATTCTAGAGACTTGGTGAACTTGACCTCAGTAAGAAGCATTGCATGTCATGGAGAATTCAGTCAGTATAGGCGATAGGGAGGGTCTGTGAGCTGTTCACAGTCATAGAACAGACTCCTGAAGCTCTTCCTGGAGAAGAACCTGGAGAGAATCCACAGAATGAAGTGTTAGTGGTCTGGTGCCATCTTTTAAAATCTGCTAACACTAATGTAGGACTACTCATATTTCTTATCTTTCTCAATGAGTCACAAGCCAAAGTATTCTTTAGTGTTCTGTGAGCCTACCATTTTTCTTACAAGATTTGATGTGTCAACTCAGGACCCTTGATCACCTCACTAGTTTCCATTAGAATTTATATACAGAAATTTGTCCAGTGTACTTTGAAAACACAATATGGGTCCTAAGCCAGATGGAGACTAATTCTGACTTCTATGCATCCCAGTGGTACACTTAGAACTCTGATCTTGGTAGTGTGGGGTCCTCAAACTTCAGTTATAAAAAGAACATAGAGGAGGATATTCCTATTGTGGGTGGCATTACTGTTACCTCAGAGCCTTGTCATCATGGCACACTCTTGTTAGTACAGGTGAGTAAACTAGTAAGTGGTGTCTACCACTGTGATCCTAGAGGTCTTAGATGACACTTGTCTTTGTTTCTTTTCCTCATGGTGACAGAATATCCTGTCAAACCTTTTTAATTGAGAGTAGATTTATTTTGTCTTACAGTTACAGGGCAAAGCTTATCATGACACAGAAGTCAAGATAGTAGGAACTTGAAGCCAGTATAATCCCACCTGTAATCATAAAGTAGAAAATGATGAATGCTGATGGTGAGTTAGTATTTTCTTTTTTCAGACTATCTAGGACCCAAGTGTGGTTATAAGCAATGTTATTGCCTGCTCTCACACGTAACCAACTTAATAAACAATCTTCAAAAACATGTCTGTAATAGGTTAAATGCACCGCCATATGTGTGCTTAGAGCCTTGAATGCTGGATGATTATAGATCCTACTGAATCCCATACCTTAATCCTATGCACTTAATGGAACTACACATCTTTATGCTCCCAGCTCTATTCTGAGAGCCTGTACTAAGGCATTACACTGAAGTATATGAACTTCATAAGGTTTTTATTTTTTAAATGTTTTATTCTATGTTCTTTGCACTCCCTAATATGTTCCCAAATATTTCTGATTTATTTAAATGTAGTAATTCTTTAGGAAAACTTAAACTAAAGTAACCCCACTAAATGAGTTGCTATTAAGATGACTCTAGATGAATTCCAACCTGTATTGGTAATGATATAGGGACAATGAGGATGGGGTAAGTGGACCAGCTGTACAGTGTCACGGGCTGAGTAACAAGCAGCACAGGAGAGACCTGGGAGACATCTGGCATCAGCAAAACTGATTCCATAGGAATCTAAGATCAATGGCTTCATGAGATGGGCTGTGTAGCCTTTGCTGAATCTTCAGTGAGTCATCTGGGATGAAGGAAGAACAGGTTTGGTCATATGATATAAAAATTTCTACCCCAGCTCACTCTGAACAATCCCCTCAGTATTTTTTTAGAGTGACTTAAACTGTTATTTTCGAGTGTTTTGCCTGCATGTATGTCTTCTGTACACTGTATGTGTACCTTGTACCCTCAGAGGCCAGACAAAGCTTCTAGATCTTCTGGAACTGTAGTTACAGGTGTGTGTGAGCCACCATGTGGACGCCTCGAATTGAACCAGGGTTCCCTGAAAGAGCAGCCACTGTTCATAACTTTGAACCATCCCTCCAGAACTCATTTTTCTCATTTCTTCCTGTTTCCCTCTTTCATTTTACCCTTTTACATTCTGTTCTGTGTTTAATTTCAGCATTATCCATCTCCACCCAGGAAGTAGAACCATGTGGGAATAACTCATTTCCATTTAGTGACTATAGATATGTGAGTGCTCATCAAGTATTCACTGGATGAGTTGTTGGCAGTGAAACAATGGGCTTCAGAGGTAATGTAGCTCCTGAGGTGAGGGAACCCGTGGAGCTAGGCCAATAGAGATTATCTGGAGCACTGGACTTTGAGGTGCTCAGGATTCTTGTGAGATTCCCTTTCAGGCAAACTTCCATGGGAACTTCTGATTCTTTTCTCTTTTGTGAGGTGATCACTTATAATGAAAGCAGGGAGTCCCCAGACTCCCTTGAATAACCTGAGATGTCCTTATGGAGCTGACAAGGGGGCCTAAGGCAGTAGGATGGTGCAGGTCATTCAATCCCAAACTCCACACAGAGGAATGCAGAAATTGATTATTTTACCCAATGTTCTCTTACTACAACACAGTCCCTGAGACTGGGTGATGTTTAAGGAGTGGAAATTTATTTTGTTCACGGCTTTGGACACTGGGAGAGAGAATGTACAGCTCTGAAAATGGTGGAGCGCCTTTTCCTCTTTCTTAGCATGGTCAGGAACTCGAGTGTGAGCCAGAAAAATAATTTCATGTTAAATCACTTCAACCTTTGAAACCACTAGTGCTGTGGCTATTTCTAAGTATTGTTATCTCTTGTAACTTAATTAACTTCCAAAGTCTCACATAAAAATGACAATAGCTTAGAAAGTTCAGACTGTTCCAAACATGTGCTCTTTAGGGACACATTGAAACCAGAGAAAAGGATGTGAGACTAATGTGCTTTGAGGATTAGTGCTACATCTCAATGGTCCTGGACACCATAATCCTTCCTGGATGTTGCACTCAGTCCTCATGGTTGGCTGGCAACCTTTTGAGCCTAGTGTGTTTAAGACCATGTAGTTTCCTTGTATTATTTGGGAGCTCATAATCTTGGAATTTGAGCACAATAGGAGTCTCCTTCCTCATTAAATACATGTTTCTGTCCTTGACTGGGCATTCCTGGATGTGCACAGGACATGGAGCAATTAAAAAATTCTGAATGTAGTTCATCACTCGCAAATCTAAAAGTTACCCACACAAACTCTTGGACTGTTTACTTAGGTTGAGTATAAATTTTTTTTTATAGAATTTGTGATATGACACCACACTGATGCTTGCCATTTCTGCAAATAGGATGCTGTAAAAGTGGCCTGAAAGTGCCTGAGGTGAGCACTGGGTAAGAGCAGTGATGTAAACTTTTGTGATGAGCATACTTTCTGGGACTCTTTGGGAAGGAACTTAGCTCATGGAAGACAAAGACAAGACAGGCATATGTGGTCTATGATGAGGGCCTTCACCTTGAGAACAACTCAGCACCATAAGTAGATATCTTTTGGAAACACATGGATTTAGTCATGTCCCATGTCTCTCTTTGTTTGCTTTAGTCTATCCGTCTTCCTTCAAGTGCTCTTTTGTTCTCCTGTCTTTTCTCTCCTCATTTCTCTCCAAAGATGCACATCTACTTTGTGAATGTACAGAAATTACAAGAACTTTGGTGTTTTGTCCTCAGAAGACATCCATTACCAGTAATTTTAAAACTTGTTACCAAGGTCTGTCAGAAATTGAGAAGAAACCACAGAAATCCTCAGTCTGTCTTGGCCACAGTCTCCAGATACCCAGTCTTATCTAGTGTAGTTGTGGCTGTAAAGTTGTGGGCATGATGTTAAAGCCACAGCTCCCTTTCAGGAACAGTGTCCATATGTAACTGGATGAACTTGACAAACTGGGCAAGGCAGAGGAGCACTTTGTAGAAGCAGCTGTGGTTCCTGCCTACATTTTCTGATCTTTGTGATGCTCTGCATTTTGTCAAAGTCAGAGGTTATTCTACGTTAAAAAAATCTGAGTTGTGGAGACAGCTCTGTGGTTCAAGCTTTAATCATGTAAGAACAAAGACCAGAATTTACCTCTCCATAACTACAAAAAGAGGTAGGTTTTGTAGCTAGCTAGGAAGCCCATCTCTGGGATGTGGAGACAGTGTGATCCTTGGTGAAACAGTTTAGCCTATTGATGAGATCAGGTCCAGTAGTGGAATTATTTCAAAATTATCATGTAGATTGACAGAGGAAGAAATGTAAATACACACACACACACACACACACACAGAGTGAGAAAGAGAGACAGGCAAAAACAATGTAATAAATCAATACAAAAACACATATCAAACTAAAAAACAGAAAGTTGAATAAACATTTGGATACTCCAAGGATTACTGTATTTGTAGAGATTATTCCTGTGGGAGGGAGCCAAAACACGGAGGAGTCTAGTCCTCCATGCCCTTCACTCCTTTCTGAGAGGGCTTTAAGCCTCTGAAACCCAAAGATCTGTGTGCTCTTCTCGCCCCCTGCTGGTTTTCAGCACCACGCAGAAAGGTTTGTGTCTGAGCTCAAGGTAACTAACATTCATTCCCTGTGTCTCTTGCACAGTAATAAGTGTGTCGTCTGACCTAAGACTGCCTGTTTCCAAGAACAGGATGTTCTTAGCATTGTTTCTGAGGATGGTGAATCAGCCCTTAATAGTGTATTAGATAGTTCTGTTATAACTAATGTATGTGATCCACTCCCGTTCTTTACTGAACCATACTATAGTCACTGAGGGTCAAAGCAGACACTGCACAGGAGAATTTCAGAAGCTTTCCAGGCTGCACTAAGCCTCCCCAAGACTCCACCAGCTGTACCTCATACTGAACACCTGTAAACACAGAGAACACCTGTCAGAAAACTGTCACCCCAAATTTTATCTCTCATGTCCACACAACACACAGAATCTCATCTCTAAAAATGACCTTTTAAAATAAAGACAAGGAAAACAAAGCTGAGCCCCAAGCCCATGGTGAGTGGTCTGTGTTCAGTGCTGATCACTGAATGGAAGGACCTAGGAATCCAGGGCTGGCCTCCTCTGTCAGAGCTGCAGGGTCAGAGCAGGCCTGGTTCTCATGAGCACAGAGAAGCCTTATGTGCATGTCTTCCTGCTATAGCATGCTCTGGAGTTGGACGTGGGCTGAAGGCAAGGCTCATAGCAGATATAAGACATCAAAGACACTGATGTCAGTTACAGAGTTTGACAATGAATGGTAGTTTCATACTCTTTTTTTGGGGGGGTAAGATTTCACCATACTTCATTTAGTTCCCTTTTGTGCATGTGCACAGAACATGCTTTGTTTCCATATTCTGTAGTGATTCCTTAGTATAAATGTGTAATTAAATAGCGCCACCCATAATTGTGCCTCTAGGTATCTGCTCAGTATTTTTCACTGTTTGGGCAGGACACGCTTCTCATTAATGTGGCTCTTGGAGAGGTTCACTCCTACAAGATTATGGTGGCAGAACTCATTCTCTGTGACAAGAACACTTTGGAATATTCTGAATTGTACTTTTTCATGATAGAAGGCTGTCCTCAGACCTTTTAGGTGCTTGCAACTGAGACATTCCAGGTCTCTGTCTTCCACTCATAGTTTGCAATGGAGACATATTTCTATTTGTACCAAAGTCACGTGTTATGAATCCTGAAGTTCTCCTTTTATTCCTTTTAAGTCCTCCTCCCACCATTTTTTTTTCATCTTTACAGCAGGGAACATGTGACTGTCTTTTTGTTGTGTTAGGCTAGTTTTCATTTTGCCCAGTTAACATAATCAGTATAAGTGGAGGTTTAAATTCTAGAATGACTAATAAACCCAGAAATGTTCCTGTCCAAAGGAAAGATAGGTACAAAAAGTGGAACAGAAATTGAAGAAAAGGTCATCCAGAGTCAGTCCCCCACAACTAAGGATCCATTCCATCTGCAGACACCAAACCACCACACTACTGCTGATGCCAAGAAGCACTTGCTAACAGGAACCTGGTATGGCTGTTCCCTGAGAGGTTCTACAGTACCTGACCAATACAGATGCAGATACACACAGCCAACCATCAGACTGAGCCCAGGGTCTCCAATGGAAGACCTAGGGGAAGGACTGCAAGAGCTGAAGGAGATTGCAACCCCATAGGAAGAACTGTATCGACTAACTGAACCACCCAGAGCTCTCAGGGACTAAACCACCAACCAAAGATTATACATGGAGGAGCCCTGGCTCCAGTTACATATGTAGCAGAGGATGGCCTTATCTGACATCAATGGGAGGGGAGGCCCTTGGTCCTGTGGAAGCTTGATGCCCCAGCATAGGGGTATGCAAGAGTGGTGAGGAGGGAGTGGGTGGGTGGGTGGAGGAGCACCCTCATCTAGGCAAATAGGATGGGTGATGGGTGATGAGATGGGGGGTTGTGGAGGGGTAGCCAGGAAGGGAGATATCATTTGAAATGTAAACAAATGATTGATAAAAAGATGTCTGCCCAAGAAACATGTCTCTCTTCTCTTTTACCTAATCTATATTTTACTCTGGAGACTCACATCTTAGACAAGTGAAAAAAATGAGTTGTTCGTTAGAAGGAAAACGAGATTGCAGTGTTTGAGTACTTCAATTTTTCATATAAACTATAACCACATGATATGTCTAAGAGGAAAAAATTTCAGAGACATCTTCGTACTATTTGTACATCTGTTCTTCTGAAGAGGAGCATCCTTGTCTTCAGTATTTCTTTTTACCTTAATTTTTACTTGTTTTTATTCACTTTACATCCCAATCAGAGTCCCTTCTCTTCACAGTCTCTCCCTTACAAATCCCTCTTCCCATTGCCCGTTGTCCTTCTTGTCAGAAAAGAAGAGCCCCCTCCCTCCCTTGGTACCACTGGGCCCTGTGACATTAATGCTCAGCAGGCCTAGGCACATCCTCTCCCACTGAGGCTCAACCAGGCAGTCCAAGTAGAGGGAAAGGGATCCAATGGTGGGAAGCAGAGACTGAGACAGCCCCTATCCACATAAGGAAAAGATGCACACTTACTATAAATATGTAGTGGGTCTAGACCTGGCTTCCATGTGCTTCCTGGTTGGTGGCTTAGTCTCTGTAAGCCGCCAGATTAGTTGATTCCGTGGGTCTTCTTGTGATGTCCTTGACCATCCTGACTTGCTCACTTATGTCACCCAGTTTCCCACAAGACTCCTTGAGTTCTGCACTTTGGCTGTGTGTCTCGGCATCTGCCTCCATCATTGCTGGATGAAGCCTATCAGAAGACAGCTTTGCTAAGGTTCCTGTCTGCAAGCATAGCAGGGTATCATTAATACTGTCAGGTGTTGGCTGTCTCACATGGGATGGGTTTCAAGTTGGGGCAGTCATTGTTTGGCTGTTCCTTCAGTCTCTGCTCCATCTGTATCCCTGAACATCTTGTAGGCAAGACAAATTTTGGGTTGAAGGTTTTGTGGGTTATTACTGTCCCTTTTCTCCTCTGGAAGTCCTGCCAGGCTACAGGTGCCCACTTCAGTCTCTATATCCTCTTCTAGAAAGGTTACCCCCGTTGACTTTTATATACTCTCCTGTCCCAGGCCTCCAGCTTGTCACCAGAGATGCACTCCCCTCTCCCCACACCTGTTTGCCATCTCCATCCCCTTCTTCACCTCCTGTCCTACTCAGTTCCCTCTCTCCATCCACATCCCTAAGAGATGCAGACCAGAAGGAAGCTCAATCTTGAAGTAGAACTATTCACAGGTTTTTGAGAAACCATCAAATATCTGTTCAAATAGGTCATAGTAGTTTGCAGTCCCACTAGCAATGGAGGGGTCTTCCCTTGCTCTGAATCCTTGCCAGCATGTGCTATCCCTTGAGGGTTTTTTTTTAATCTTAGCCGTTTTATGGGTGTAGGTTGGAATCTTGGGATGTTTTGATTTGCATTTTCCTGATGACTAAGAACATTGAGAATTTTGCTAAGGACTTCAGGGCCATTTGAGTTTCTTCTTTTGAAAATTATCAGTTTTGCACTGTACCTCATTTTAAAGTTGGATTATTTAGAGTTTTGGTGTCTAATTTCTTGAGTTCTTTAAAATTTTTGGATATTAGCCCTCTGTCAGATTTAGGGTTGGTGAAGAACCTTTCCCAATCTGTATGCTGCCATTTTGTTCTATTGACACTGTCCTTTGCTTTACAGAAGACTTTTTGTTTCATGAGGTCTCATTTATCAATTGTTGATTTTAGAGCCTGAGGCATTGGTGTTCTGTTCAGGAAATTGTCTACTGTGTGAATAAGTTCAAGGTTATTCCACACTTTTTGTATTTAATGTATGCAGTTTTAGTCTGAGGTTTATGATTCATTTGGATTTGTGTTTTGTACAGGATGGTAGTTATAGATCTATTTGCATTCTTCTACAGGCAGACATCCAGTTAGACTAGCACCATTTGTTGGAGATGCTTTTTTCTTTTTATTGTATGGGTTTTGGCTTCTTTGTCAAAAATCAAGTGTCCATTGCTGTGTGAATTTGTTTCTGAAACTACAGTTTGACTCTAAATATCACCCTACCTGTTTCTATACCAATACCATGCAGTTTTTATTACTTTTGCTCTGTAGTACAGCTTGAGGTCAGGAATAGTGATTTCTCTTGAAATTCTTTCATTGTTCAGGATTATTTTAGTTATTATGTTTTTTTTTTGTTTTCTTTATAAAGGTGAGAATTGCTATTTTATGTCCTATAAAAACTTCTGTTGGAATTTTGATGAGAACTGTGTTTAATCTGTAGATTGCTTTTGGTAAGATGGATATTTTCACTGTTAATCCTGCCTATCCATGAGCATAGAGGATCTTTCCATTTTCTGATATCTTTTAAAATTTCTTTCTTCAGAGACTTGAAGTTGTTGTCATGCAGGTATATCACTTGGTTGGTTAGAATTACACCAAGATATTTTATACTATTTGTGGCTATTGTGAAAGGAGTTGTTTTCCTAATTTCTTTCTCAGCCAGTTTATTTTTTAAAAAAGGAGGGTTATTGATTTCCTTCAGTTAATTTTGTTTCCACCTATTTTGCTGAAAATAATTTATCAGCTATAGGAGGTCTCTAGAAGAATTTTTGGAATTGCTTATGTATATTACCATATCATCAACAAATTGCAATACTTTGACTTCTTTCTTTCCAATTTGTATCTCCTTGATCTTCTTTAGTTTTCTTACTGCTCTATCAAGAACTTCAAGTAGTATATTGGATAGATAGGGAGAGAGTAGACAACCTTGTATTGTACCGGACTGTAGTGAAATTGTTTTACATTTCTTTGAATTTAATTTGGTTTTAGCTATTGGCTTGTATGTATATTGCTTTTTATTATGTTTAGGTATGTGCCTTGTATCCCTGGTCTCTCAAAGACATTTTTTTTTATGTCTCTCTCCATCCCAAATGGTGTCCCATTCCCATCTCCAGTCCCTTTCATCTTTGGGATGGTAGACCCCCCTCCTTGGTATCCCTCCACCCAGGTGAATCAAATTTCTGCAAGATTAGAAGCATCCTCTGTTGCTGAGGCAGGAGAAGTCAGCCCTTTGTTACATATGTGCCCGGGGCCTCAGTTCAGTCCTTATGTGCTCTTTGGTTGGTACCTCTTTCTCTGAGAGCTTTCAGGGGTCCAGATTAGTTGGCTCTGCTGGTCTACCTGTGGGGTTCCTGTTCTTTTCAGGACCTTCAAACCTTTTACAAACTTTGCTATAAGAGCCCTCGACCTCTGTCCAATGTTTGGCTGTGGGTATCTGCACCTGTTTTAGTAAGATGCTGGATAGAGCCTCTCAGAGAATAGTTATGCTAGGCTCTTGTCTGTAAACATCACAAAGTTTATTAAGCTATTAACATCATTAATAGTGTTATGCATCAGTACATTCCCATGGGGTGTGTCTCAAATTGGGTCAGTTATTGTTTGACCATTTCTTCAGTTTCTACTCCATTTTTCTCCCTGCATTTTTTTTTTTTTAGTCAAGACAAATTTGGGGTCAAGTTTTGCGAGCAGATTGGTCTTCTTATCGTTCCACTGGGGTTCCTGCCTGGCTACAGAAGGTGGCCTCTTCATGTTCCATGTCTCCACTGTTAGGTGTCTTGTCTAAGGTCATCCACATTGACTTTTGAGAGCCTTCCCCATCCCAGGTATCGGGAATTGCCTAGAGATTCCTCCCATACTCCACCCATAGCAGCTTCAGATTTCCATTCATTCTCCTGACCCTCTGGGCCTCTCACCTGTCTCTTCCCACATGTGATACTACTCCTATTCCTCTCCCCCTCCCACCCACATCCTGTCCTCTCTCTTCCTTCCGTTTCTATTTTGTCTCCTCTTCTAAATTCTCCAAGACTTTTAACATGAAGGGCTATTGGATTTTGTCAAGGACCCTTCAGCATCTAATGAGATGATCAAGTGATTTTTTTCCCTTTCATTTTGTTCATATGATAAATTATGTTGATTGAGTTTTGAATATTGAAACATCTCTGCATCAGTGGGATGAAGACTACTTGATCATGATGAATGATGTTTTTTGATGTGTTTCAGGATTCTGTTTGTGAGTATTTTTTATTATTTTTTGCACCAATGTTCATAATGTTCCTGTATGATTTAGGTATAAAGATGACTGTGGCTTCATAGAATAAGTCTAGCAGCGTTCCTTCCATTTGTATTTTGTGGAATAGTTTGAGGAATATTGGGGTTATCTCTTCTTTGAAGGTATGGTAGAATTCTGTACTAAAACCATCTGGCCATTGGCTTTCTTTGATTGGGTGAGATGTTATGACAGCTTCTATTTCCTTATGGATTATAGGGCTGATTAAATAGTTTACCTAATCTTGATTTAACTTTTATAAGTTGTATTCATCTAGAAAATTAGACATTTAATTTAGATTTTCCAATTTTTGGAGTATACATTTTTGAAGTAAGGCATAAAGATTCTATGAATTTCCTCATTGTCTGCTGTTATGTCTCATTTTTCATTTCTGATTTCATTTATTTTGAATTCTCTCTCTCTCTCTCTCTCTCTCTCTCTCTCTCTCTCTCTCTTCCTGTCTTTTGGTTACTTTGACTGTGTTTGTCTATCATGTTGATTTTGTCAAAGGACCTATTTTTGGTTTTGTTGACTCTTTTTATTGTTTTCTTTATTTCTAATTGATTGATTTCAGCCCTTAATTTGATTATTTCTGCTGCCTATTCCTCTTCCTTCTTCCTTTTCTAGAGCTTTTAGATGTATTTTTAAATTGCTTACATGAAAACTCTGTGATTTCTTTATATGACCTTAGTGCTATGAACCTTCCTCAGCACTGCTTTCATTGTGTCATGTAAGTCAGGGTATATTTTTCTTTCATCTTCATTGTAATCTATAAAGTCTTTAATTTCCCTTTTTCTTTATCCCCTAACCTAGAGATAACTGAGTAGAGAGTTATTCAGTTTCCATGGTGTATAGACTTTCTGTTGTTTCTGTTGTTGTGTTGAAGTCCATTTTTAGTCAATGGTGGGCTGATAAGATTCAATATTCTTGCATCTATTGAGATTTTTTTTTCTTTGAACAAGAATATGGCCAATTTTGGAGAACATTCCATGAGGTAATCAGAAGAAGATATATTATTTTGTGTTGCGGTGAAATGTTCTGTACATCTCTGTTAGGTCCATTAGTTTCATTTTTTCCTCTATTTAGGTTTTGTCTGGATGACTTGTCAATTAGTGAGGTTAGGATGTTGACATCTCCTACTATTAGTGTGTAGGTTTTGATGCATAATTTAACTTTTAGCTCTGTTTCTTTACAAATGCAAGTGCCCTTGTGTTTGGAGAACAGGTTTTCAGAATTGAGATGTCATCTTGTTAGGTTTTTTTCTTTAATGAGTATTAAGTCCTTCCTCATTTCTTTTGATGAGTTTTGGTGAAAGCCCATTTTATTACATATTAGAATGGCCATTCTATTGATTCTTGGGCCCATTTGCTAGGAAAACATTTTTTTTTTAGCCCTTTACTCAGAGGAAATTTCTATCTTTATTGGTGAGTTTTTTTTTTAAATACAGCAGAATGGTGGATTCTCTGTTTGTATCCATACTGTTATCTTTTTTCTTTTTATTCGGTTATTGAGCATATTATTATTTAGAGATATTAATTGCCAGTTATTGTTCATTCCTGTTATTTTGATGTTGGTGTTGTTACTGTGTGTGTGTATTTTTATGTGCTTTCCTCGTTTTATTTTTATTTGTGTGGAATTAATTATTTCCTGTGTTTTCTTGGATGTAGTTATCGTTTTAATTTGGAGTTTTCCTTCTAGTATTTTGTATATGGCTGGATTTATTGTGCAAATTTCAATTTGTCTTGAAATATTTTTTTTCCATCTATGATGATTGGGAGTTTTGCTGGGTATAGTAGTTTATGCTGGCATCTGTGCTTTCTTAGAGACTTCAAGATATTTCTTCATGCCCTTGTTGCTTTCAGTGTTTCAATTGTGAAGTCTGATGTAATTCTGAAAGGTCTGCCTTTGTGTATTACCTGGGCTTCTCCTTTTGCAGCATGTTAAATTTCTCTCTTTGTTCTGTAAATTTTGTGTTTTGATTATTATGTGTTCGGAGTATTTTCCTTTCTGTTCCAGTCTAGTTGGTATTCCACAAGCTTCTTGTATGTTTATAGTCATATCATTCTTCAGAGTGGGAAAGTGCTCTTTGAAAATTTGTTTAAAATATTTTCTGGTCTTGAGAGGTAGGACTATTTACCTTCTTCTATTCCTATTATTGTTAGGTTAGGTCTTTATATGCTATCCCAGTCTTCTTGGATGTTTTGTGTTTGGATTTTTTTAGATTTAACATTTTCTTTGATGGATGTATCAATTTCTTTTATCCTATGTTGTATGCCTACCATTCTCTCTTCCATCTCTCATATTTTCTGGTGATACTTTCCTCTCTCGGTCCTGTTCTCTATTCTTGGTTTTCTATCTCCAGGATTCTCTCAGTCTATGTTCTCTTTATTGCTTCTATTTCCATTTTCAGGTCTCAAACAGTTTATTTACTTCTATAATCTATTTAAATGTATTTTCCTGTATTTCAAGGTTAACCTATGAGTACAGAGCCCTCTCCTTTCCTTCCTCCAGAAGTCACATCACATCAGTGTGTTGGAGACACAGCTATTCCATCATCACAAGCAACAAAAGTATCTGACAGTCTTACAAATTATACAGATTCCTGGGTGACATCACGTTTTGATTGAACAATCATCATCCCTTGATTTGCAATGCTCACCTACTCTTCTATAGGGACATCATCCCATATAATCACAGATTGCCACTGAAAATATTATATGTAGGTTCTCTGTGGCACATTTGACTTCTTCTGATGAGGAACCCTAATTCAGAATGAGCCAACCATTCTTTACATGATGTTTCTGGGACAGCAGTAGAAAGAAGATCCTTAGAATGCTGGGGTATGGAAAAGGGATTAATGTGTTAAAAAATGATGTGACCCATTAAATTCTAGGGGAACTATACAAACCAAAGAATAACAAAGAGACAAGCATAAAGAAAAGAGATATTACCTGTTGAGTGGGTTAGGGCTGCTGACACCAAGTAGAAGCTCAGTGAGTATTGCTGGTTATATCAGCCTTATGACTCAGTGTTGGAGCCTCACACACACTTTATTACCAGCACCACAGTCGGGTCTGTGCTGGGTCTATTGCATAGTGTTGGTGTGAACATGGAGGAGAGAAAGGAATTCATCTGCTTCATGGGTCACTGGCTCTGCATGAATTCTGTGTTCCTCTAACTTGAATCCTACACAGCACTCTCACGAGGGAGTCTTACTGAGTCTCTGCCTTGGGTTTCACAGTCTCAAGAGTTCTTTGTGTCTTCAGGTTCTGCTTCTGGTTTTCATACAGAATCATTTCTGCCCCGTGTGATGCTCTGCATTTTGTGTTCAGGTTGGATGTTATCCTACATTTAAAAGTCATCTATAATGGGGCTGTTTATATAACACTGTGCTTAAAGTAATTATCACACAAGTATAAGTATTTGTGTTTAGTTCTCCATAACTACAAAAATAGGTGGGCTTGGTAGCCATGACAAGATCCAGGCCCAGTGATGGATTGTATTTCAAAGTTATTGTGTAAGTTACACACACACACACACACACACACACACACAGAGAGAGAGAGAGAGAGAGAGAGAGAGAGAGAGAGAGAGAGAGATTCATGCTCATAAACATACACTCACCCACCTCACCCACTTAGAGTGAGAGGGAGAAAGAGAGAGAGACAGTCAGAGAGAGAGACAGAGAGATATAAAAAGAGTGACAAAGAGACAGAGACAAACACAGACATCTACACAGAGAGACAGAAACACTATAATAAATAAATGAATGCAAAACACATATAACACATGAAAAGAAAAATTTGAATAAACATTTGTATACTTCAAAGGTTACTACAGACTATACTTATAGAGAGAATATCTGTAGAGAGACAACCTAGATAAAGAGGAGTGCAGCCCTGTCTTCCCCCCAGACTTTCTTGAACAGGCTGAAACTAGGAGCTTTGTGTGCTCTGTACGCCCCCTACTGGTCCTGCGTGCCCTGCAGGGGTTTTGTGTTTGAGCTCACAGTAACATTCACTTACTGTGTCTCTTGCACAGAAATACATGGCCAAGTCCTCAGATCTCAGACTGCTCATTTGCAGGTACAAAGTGTTCGTGGGGTTGTCTCTGGAGACGGTGAATCGGCCCTTCACGGTGTCTGCATAGTATATGTCATTACTAGCACGACTAATGTATGCAACCCACTCCAGCCCCTTCTCTGGAGCCTGGCGAACCCAATTCATTCCATAGTCACTGAAAGTGAATCCGGAGGCTGCACAGGAGAGTTTCAGGGAGCTTCCAGGCTGCACTAAGCCTCCCCCAGATTCCACCAGCTTCACCTTACACTGGACACCTGCAAACAGAGAATGCTGGTCAGAAAACTGTCATTAACAAAACTAAACAAAGAAACAAAACATTTTTTCTATTTCTCTTGTGTACTGAATCTTAGTTCTATAAATTACCTTTTAAAATAAGGACAAGGAAAACCAAGCTGAGCCTGAAATGCATGGTGAGTAGTCAGTGTTCAGTGCTAATCACTCAGTGGGAGGACCTGGGAATACAAGGCTGAGCTCCTTTGTCAGAGCTGCAGGGTCTGGGCAGACCTGGTTTTCATGAGCACAGAGAAGCCTTATTTGCATGTCTATCTGCTATAGCAGGCTCTGAAGTTGGACCTGGGTAGAAGGCAGTGCTTATAGCAGATATAAGACATCAAAGACATGGATGTCAGTAACAGAGTTTGACAAACTATGATAGTTTCATATTCATATTTTCTCTTTTGTTTAAGAGTTCACTGTACTTCATTAAGTTTCCCTTTGTGCATGTGCACAGGACATGCTTTGTTTCCATATTCTGTAGTGATTCCTTAGTATAAATGTGCAATTAAATAGCACCACATGTAGCTGAGTTTCTAGATATGAGCTCAGTCATTCCTGCTGTCTGGACTGCTCATGGATTTCCATTAATGTGGCTCATGGACAGAGTCACATCTGCAAGGTTATGGTAGCAGAACTCTTTCTTTGTGTCTAAAGCACTTTGAGAGTTTCTGAATTTTACTTATTCATGATAGAATGGTGTCCTCACATCTTATACATGCTTGCAACTGATACATTCCAGGTCCCTGTCTGTCTACCACTCAATTTGCAACAGAGACATATTTCCATTTGTAGCAAACTCACTCATCGTGCATCCTGAACTTCTAGTTCTATTCCTTTTAAGTCCTCCCTCCACTATTTTATTTTTGCCTCTTGGCACCAGGTAGCATGTGACTGTCTTTTTGTTGTGTTAGTCTAGTTTTCATTTTTCCCAACTAACATAATCAGTAAAAATGGGAGGTTTAAATTCTAGGATGACTTATTAGGATGAACTATTTATTTAACCAGTTCTATAGTTTCCATTCTCTTCTCCCCTTCCTCTCACCACACCTAATTTTTGCATTCACAAAAACCAGTACTCCTTTGTCCTTGGTCCTCCTTGTCCCACACTTAAGATAAATCCTATTTCTAGGATTTCCATTCTATTTCTAAAAGCTACAAAATAGAATCCAGAACCCTTGACACACAATGATGTTTTTGCTTATGACAGAAACAGGCAGTGTTTGTCTTTTCAAGCTCTGGTTATATTGCTTGACATAACATTTTCCAGTTCCATTTAAATTCTTCCAAGGCTCAGAGGACATGGGGCAAAAGGAGGTGGTGAGAATGAAAGAGGTGAAGCATGAGGAAGAAAGCTGTGAAGTAACGTCTTGTGGTCAGGACATGGTATCACATCATACATTCATGATGGCTATTGTCTATGTAAGCCCTACCTGAGACCAAGCCAATCATGACCTAGTATGGACTATATAGATTATTTCCAGGCCTTCTTTTTTAGTGAGGAGCTGTTGGATGTAGATACTTCCTGGAGAGAAATAATTTATTTTTTGAAAATGTAGTCACTGGTAGATTTTCTAACCTACAGTCCTTACCTCCACACACATGAACATATGGGCAGCATTGACTTGACTTATAGATGTTATAAAGTTGTAAGAGGTTTATGTTGGGAAGATTAAGGGGGAGTTAAGGGAAAAAGAGCTTAGAAATGTAATCATATTTAATGATTTATGTAGTGTATGCAATCTCCAAAAGGAAGAAAAATACTACCCACTTCATGCCTACATAATTCAAAGACAATGAATCCTTATAAATGTGGTCAAGAAAGAATATGATAAATATGATATAATGGGTATGCATGGTGGCCCTCTGTAAGAGGAATAAATCTTATGAGTTTCAAGTCAATAGAATACAATGATGCTGCATACAATCTATTCCCAACACATGAAGACACTGGCCTTGTGAAAGTAAAGGCTGGAGATACTCAATCTTAAGTTTAGAAAACAGAGAGACAAGGAGGTTCTGCTTTCATTAAGAAAATTCAGGCAACCTCTTTTCAAAGTCAGAGGCAAAATCCAGGAGAACTTATGCATGCCCCAAACAGGGTCAGATGATCACATGAGGCAATATTGGCAAGAACTTCAGGGAAGCAATGAAAGCATTTCTGTCTCACACTATAGTGGTTTCATGGTTGTTTGCCTATATGGGAACTCAGTAGAATACATGGTAGTAGACAGACAATCTCGAATTCCCACAGTATTGCAATAAATTATTTTAAACAATCAGACTGATGTAGTATCTGTCCCAACGTTTACACAAGGACAAGTCCCATGCTGATGGAACAAATAAGAAAGGCCATAGTGATGTGAGAGCTAGATGCACCATTCAGTCTGGGTGACTTCATACCTCATGACTCCTGACAGAGAGAATCCAGGAGTGAGAGACTGTGCATCTGTGAGATAAGGAAGAGAACCTAACATAGAAATCTAAAACTCTATTTGATATAAAATGTCCCTTCCTGTCACCACTATACACATCCAGACATGAGATTATTGGGTCATGTGGTCTTCATTTGTAATTCATTGAGATCCTGCACAGTGTTTGTCAATGTCATATAGGGCCATGTGTATGTTGATAATGAATGGTAACCCGTTTCCTTCCACACAAAACTTCTTTTCACTTTTTTCATTAATTGTTCTCATTTCATTGGCTATAAGGCAACTTATCATATAGAATTGATTTCCATTTCCCTTGCAATTGGAGATGTTGACTTCATGTAACTTCTTCTGCCCACGTGCACTGACCAAAAGGAGGGATCCAAATAAAAGGTTGGAGGGTACAAAGTTGTCTGCCAAAGAGAACATTGTCTCTCTTCTCTTTTCCCTTAGCTCTGAATCAGCAGACGTGCGCTTAGACAAGGGATAAAAGTGATTTGTACTTTAGAATAAAAACGAGGCTACAGTGTTGGAATACTTCAATTTCTCATATAAAATATAACCACAGAATATGTTTAAGAGGAGAGAATGTCAAATCTCCATATTATTGGTACTTCTGTTCTTCTTCAGAGGAGCATTCTCCTCTGCAGATTTTTTGATTTGATATTTATTTATTTGTTTGTATTCACTTTACCTCACAATATAAGGTGTTATTTCAATTTTCTTGTATCTTTAGAGGCTTATAGTTTGACCAAATGTATAGTCAATTTTGGGAAGGTACTGAGAGGATGTTATCTTCTTTTGAGTTTGGGTGAAGTTTTCTGTAAACATCTGTATGGTCCATTTGATTCATAATATCTGTTATTTTTATTATTTTTCTGTTTAGTTTTTGTCTCATTGACCTGTCAATTGGTGAGAGTGGAGTTTTAAAGTCTCTTAGTATTGATGTGTAGAGTTTAGTGTATAATTTAAACTTAGTATATTTTTTATTAGAAATGTATATACCTTTGTTATTGGAGAATAGATGTTTAGAATTGATATGCCATCTTGGAGGATTTTTTTTCCTTAAGGAGTTTGAAGTGTCTTTCCTCATCTCTTTTGATGAATTTTGTTTGAAAATCTATTTTATTGCATATCAGAATGGCTACTCTGTCTTACTTCTTGGTTCTGTTTATTTGGAAGTTTTTTTTCCACCCCTTTATTCTGAGGTAATGTCTATCTTTGTGCTGAGGTGTGTTTCTTGTAAGCAGCAGAATGATGGCTCCTGTGTTTGCTTTTGTTCTGTTTTCCTGGGAGCTCTGGGGGTTCTGTTTGGTTGATATTGTTGCTCTTCTCATGGGGTTGCAAACCTTTTCAGCTCCTTCAGTTCTTCCTCTATCTCCTCCACTGATGCCCCAGTGTAGGAGAATACAAGGGTGGGGAGGCAAGAGTGGGTGGGTGGGTGGGGGAACACCCTCATAGAAGCAGGGGAAGGAGGAATAGCATAAAGGGTTTCTGGGGTGGAAATCAAAAAATTTATATTTGAAATGTAAATAAAGAAAATGCCCAATAAAAAATAAAAATAAGAAGACATGATTGATAGAGAAAATTGATTTAAAAAGATTGGATTTAAGGTCTTTTTCTTGAACTTTAGTTGTGTTTGGATATCCAAGACTTACTGTAGTAGGACAGCTGTGCTCTGAAGTTGTCAGATTGCTCTGGCTTCTTTTTTTTTAGTTGAGTTCTTATGCTGGCTTTTAGCCACCTGGTTGTCCCTGAATGTTCCTGATGTAGGCAGTATTGGGAAGGGGACTCACCTCTATGATCCTCATGTTAGAGATCTCTAGTGTGTATCTTTGGGATGGACAATGGAACTCAGGGGTCAGTGCAATTCTGCTAGCAGTTGGGTGAGCCACTGTATAGTTCTTGATAAGTTGGTGTGATGAAGGCAGACAGAGATTTGTTCAGAAAATCGAGGTCTGATGTGACAGCAGGTGGCTCAGGCAGCTGGGCATGCCCCAGAGGACTTGGCAGGCAAGGGAATTGAGTGCAGGGAGGGAATCTAATCTGTATGATTGCAGATCATCAGGTCTGAAGAAGGTGGGTAGAGAAGTAGCTGAATAATCTTCTCTATAGTATTTGTTCAATAATTTACTTATGTCAGAAAGAAAGTATGGATGATCCAGTAGCACAGAGAGTTAAAACCTTATCTTAATTTGTATTTCATTGTTGTGAAAGGACACTATAATCAAGGCAAGTCTTATAAAGAATACATTTAATTGAGACTTATTTATAATTTCAGAAATCCAGTACATTATTATAATTGAAAGAATGGCAGCATGCAGGCACAACTTGTTCTGGAAGATCCAAGAGTTCTATATCTTGACTTAAAGGCAGATAGGAAGAGACACTCTTCCACAGACATCAGGGAGGGGCTATCTTCTGCACTTGGCAGAGCTTGAGCACAGGGCCTCAGAACCCATTCCTATTGGGATGCATTTCCTCAAACAAGGTCATATCTCATAATAGTATCACTTCCCATGGGCCAAACCTATTCAACACACCACTGCCCTCAATAACACATTGCACATGTTCTTGGTCAAAAGTAATGTCCATAAGACTTGGAATCTCTAAATGTTGGTTCTGAATGTTTTTAGTCCACCCCACTCTTTGAGGGAGTTTCTTTCTGTCTATCCCATTTCACCAGCAGCCGTATATGCTGATTCTTAGTCCGATCCTGGGTAACACGAGTGTGGATGTCTTACACCTAGAATTGTGTGGAGCTGCG